AATTCTCAAAATCAATTTACCCACACTTGAACTTTTAAGAATTTCTTATTCTACTCTTTGAACAGTTTCTTTGATCTTTCCAGTCTATAAAACAACTACTAGAGTTGTTCACAAATTTTCACATTCCAAGTCATAGGATTCTAGGTGGATACCCAATAATCAGGTAAGAGATAATTTAGGAGAAAAACCTTTTTTCTAGAATAAATGAGATTAACATTTTTTTTTTCTAATTTTTACAAATATATATTTATATAGCATATATTTCAATCCAATTAATAATAAGCCTCTAACAACAATTATATAAAATTCTATTAGGAAAAAAATTCTAACTCATTTGCAACAAAAAAATTGTAACTCAATTCATTTTAAAAATTAGATAATACAAATGTATTAATGAATTTAAATCAACTTGATCCGATCTACATTTCTTCAATCACATATGTTAACATTAATTATAAACTCGAAACTAGGGCTTTTGGCTCTACTCTTACTTTGGAACTTGTCATTTTGTTTGTTGTGAAGTTTTGTTTGTTTTCTGATCAGCATCAGTGGTGGAATCATATTTAAAATATTTATGTCATGTTAATTGTAGTGTTTTTTTAACGAACTTCCTCTTTCAAAATAATAATAATAGTAATTGTGTTGTATCTATAATAAAATTATTAAAAGTACATGGAATGAAGAGATACCTTCAATTGCCATAACTACATTGCTAGACACAATTTTATAATTACAGTTGAAATATGTAGTAAATATAGATTCATATATAATGATATGGAATGTGGTAATGGATCCCAATTCAATGAATTCGATTATGATTAATTTAATTAATTAGGTTTTCTTTGGACATTTAAAGTTTGTTGTACAATTTTAGAAAAGGAAACATGTCAAGTTGTTCATGATCACTTCCACTGGCAAATTGAAGGTAATTATAATTGTATAATTCATGTTGAATTAATGGTGGTCCATCCCAAATTGTTGCAGAAATGGAAATTCCCTTCAATACCATTGACAGCTACTCAAAAGTGCATATGTTCAAACCTCCAATTCTAAACATGTATACTACTCAAAAGTGCATGAGTCAAGTTGTTCGTTACATGAATTTCATGTGGGACGATGCTTCATCCCAAATTGTTAATAAATTATAAGAAATTAGAAGTTGGTGAGTTCAATTTTATTTTTAGAAATTTTAATTTTTTAAATTCATAATTTTTAAAAAATATTCCTAATTTATCCATATCATTAATCACAGTCAAAATTTAATTGAATTTGTCATTCCACGCCAGGTGGATGGGATTATTTTGCTTTTAAGTTCAAATTTATGTTATGCAAAGGATCAGCGATGCTAAAACATGTAGTTAATTAAATTTTTAATGGTGATTAATGAAATAAAAGAATTTTAAATATTTTAAAAATTTGTTATCTAAAAATTAAGCTTTAAACGTTACGAATAAAAATTAAATATTATAAAAAATCAGATAGATTGGTGTATTGGCAAAACAAAAGTTTCCAAAATGGAGAGATGTGAAGCAAATGTGAAAATGGTTAGGCCTTGAAGAAAGCTGTGTACAAATTTGATGGAAAACCTTTATCTATTTGAGTTAAAGGAAAAAAGGAGCTAATAAAGGACATTGTGGACAAAACCTTTTAGAAGATTTCTTCCACGAATTTTCTAGTTTTTGATGTCGTTTATATGGTTTACGATAATTGATAAAGATAGTCTTGTCGGTTGACCAAAACCTCCCCAACGCCAAACGAAATTGTGCTATAACTATGATTATTAGACTTTAGCGTAGGATCCCACATTTATAACCCATCAAACTAAAACATTACGTCAATCGGTTTTCAACGGTTAAAAAGCCTAAATCAATCAGCTTGCCATTCCAAGGTTTTCTTTTATCTATTTATATTTCATTTGAATGACCGGTTGAAAAGATTTGTATTGTATTATTTTATTATTTTGAATTTTTTTATATAAGGGATATTAATCTAAAAAAAAAAAATTACATAACGTTAAAATTTGAATTTTAAATTTATTGAATAAATAAAATTATTTTAGATTTTTATTTATTTATACTTCATGATCGATTGAAAAGATTTTTATCTATTATTACATTGTTTTGAAATTTTTTTGTATATAAGAGATCATAGTTGAGAATAAAAAATAAATTATATAGTATAAAATTCAATATTTAAATTTATTAAATATTATTTTTAAAAAATAATTATCTAAATCAACTAGAGCTATTTTGAAATTGAATCTCTTCTTCTCACAAATTATATCCAAAAATAAAAAATAAAAAATAAAAAAAATCCAAGACAATAGACAGAAATTGATACCCCTCCCGCCGCATCCAAGAAATAAACAAATGTATGTTACGTTTAAGACATTATATTAAGTTGAGATAAATTTAATAATAATCTAAATAAAAATCGTACAGAGTTGCATATGCTAAGAAGATCGCTAGACATATTTCTTGGAGTCTAAAAATTTGAGTATAAACTCATCAATTAATAATAACTATATATTCTAATATTTTTCTAACTGAGGAGAAACAAATAATTAAAGAAATGAAAGGTCCTCGTGACTTTGAGCAAAGTCCTGGCTGGCCATTGGATCGAGGTCATGTGCCCCGAGACGCATGCTGAACACCTATCTCCATCATCAGTTATCAGTCTGCATTTAACATCTGAGACTGATCAGAGCCTTCGATCATCAAAGACTTTTGTCTTTTAATTTTGTTTTATATTGATCATTGTTTGACAAAGAATCTTGTTTTTTGTATGATTTTATGTGTACCTTGGATTTTTTTTTGGTTAATCAAGCTTACGGATGAATCAACTTGAGGTCATACAGAGGCAGATTTATATGCTGAAATAAAGTGCTTATGGATATTTTAAATGTTGAAAAATAAATAAAATTTTTTTCTTACACTTTAAAATTTTGTTCTGTACACTTTTTTAGTTAATAAACAATTTTATAGTTGATAAAATTAATAAATTTATCAATAATTTTTATATATATTATAAATAAACAACCCTAAAAAAAATTCCTAAATTTACCGTTAAAGTTACCAAAGTTATCGCTTCTATTCTACAAAGCTCCACCCTCAAAATTTTGCTTTAACTTGATGATCAAAGGGTTATGCAGGCATTAAAATCTGAATTTGAATGTTCATAATTAGTTTTCTTTTTATTTATTTAAAAAATTCAAATTAAAAATTTTTAATAAAAATATTTGCATCAATCAATCGTTAAGTTAATTAATTAATGTTTGGTGTGAAGATTCATAGTTTTGTACAAATGGGTATCTTCCAAAATGTCATATGTACTCAAAATTTATTTTTAAAAAATTTCTTGGTGAAAGTTTTAGGTTTTGGATCACTACTCTTTTCGACTATTGTCAGGTCACAAGCACGTGTTTATCAAAAATAATTTTAATGCAGGATTTTTTTCACATATAATTCAACCGACAGGCAAAATCATAATTAAGAGGTTTATTCAAAATTGGATCAATGTCACAAAAATTTTAAAAATTTTCAATTCTCGTTAAACATAATTTCCTCGAATAATGTTAATTAATCTGCCAACCAGCTGTTTAGTATTAAATAATTAGAAACACTTAGATTTGTTAATAAAGTGAATCATGGAGGTGCTGCTGCCTTAAGATCATAGTTTAATGAATTGTTTAATTAATTCATTTTGGTATATATTAACAAATAAAAGGTAGCCATCAAAGAAATAATATACAGTTTGAGTTCTTGTAGATATACTTTTTGAATAACTTAAAAGCTTCAATTATTTGGAATTTAAGTGCCCTAAAGCAATGGTACTTGGAAGTTTGCTTTAACCTTCATTCACCGCACAATGCAGAGAATTGGAACTATGAAAACCACAAAATCATACCCAAAAAAAAAAAAAAAAGGATAAACGTCTGAAACCACTTTTTATATATTATATTATTAGTTGGGGATGAGATTTGAGAATATAAAAACCAAAATCCCCGGAGCAGGGTCGGTGTAACGCTTGCGCTTGAGGTCTTCAAGAAAACAGGTGTGGCGAGGTGCAAAGAACATAGTGTGTTCTACTGCTTTTCTTAGACTTGACCGGTCAACCCTCATAACCCTACGTACCCTACCCTTATTGCTTGCTTAAATTCTTTTCTCCTTTATTTTCCCCCTATTTCTTTTAATTAAGACCCTAAGAATGACATTACAGTTTATTTGAAAGAGCTCTCATAGCGTTTTGTAGTCAAATCTCTAGGCCTTCTTCTTCTTCTTCCTCTTCTAGGGTCTGTGATTGTATCAACATATTAATTGTTAAGTATTAAAGGACAATTCATAAAGTAACAAAAAAATGAAAATTTCTTTTATCCATGCAATATTGTATATATATATATATATATTTCAAGTTTAAAAATTCAAACTTTTATAAAATAACATTAAAGTAACACTTTTGAATAACATGATCATGTATGTATAAAAGTGATTACCTTGAGTGTTTTTTTTTAATAGCTAGTTTTAACAGTGAAGAAAATAATAAATTTATTACATGGTATTGCGTGTGGACTCTGAGCCACTGACAAACACCGATAATCTGGCTTAAAACCAAGCACCTCTTTTTCTCTTTGTGAAACAAATAAAATAAGTGATCAAAGCAGTTTTACGATCAAAACTAAGTTGAACCAAATTGGGAACAAACCCAAAGAAAGATAGTTTATATGGCGTATCCAATCCAAGTGTGAGTTCATTCTTTTGTTTTGTTTTGTATTTTTTTTTTCCTCTCCAATACCCTATTTAAATACAAGGCTTTAGACTCCTTTATCCCATGCAAACTGTCTCCTCTTCACTAGCTTTCCCTACTTGAGTTTCAGCCTCTTTCTTCGTTCAAAGCATACACCACTATATATCTCTTCCTCCATAACTTGTCTTCCTCAACAACACTCCTTTGTGTTCCTCTGCTTATCTCTTTTTAACTTGCTGATTTTATATTACTTTGCATTTGCACTCAAAATTCCGAGTTATATATTATAATTTGTGTGTGTTAAGTAATTTCATCAGCTCTATCCTAAAAATTAAGATGTCTAGCAGAAGGTCAAGATCAAAGCAAACAGGAGGTTCAAGAATAACTGATGATCAGATCAATGATCTTGTCACCAAGTTACAGCAACTTCTTCCGGAGATTCGCAACAGGCACTCTGATAAGGTATTTTAAACTTCCCTTCTACCCCTAAGTTTTTTCTTTGTCCTTGATATATATATATATATGTATAAATTTATTTAATTAATGTTGACATATATGCAGGTTTCAGCTGCCAAAGTGTTACAAGAGACTTGCAACTACATTAGAAGCTTGCATAGAGAGGTTGATGATCTTAGCGAGAGACTATCAGAGCTACTAGCAACAACTGACACTGCCCAAGCTGCCATAATCCGTAGTTTGCTTATGCAATAGATCAGTTAATGATCGCTGATGGCTTCACTACTTTTTATCTATCTTTTTCTTATCCCTTTGCTTGCATTTCTTTAATTCTAATTTCTCCTTTTTCTTTTAGGGCTTTGTTATTGGCTAAGTTGAATAATATAATAAGAGAACTGATCTTGATCCACTCATCAAACCCCTCTCAAGTGCAAACGAGATGAACTCACCAATTTCAAGACATCATTAATTTAAGCATAGTATCAAATGACCAAAGCATTTTTCTACCAATAAATTACTTATCTTAACCAAGTTGTAGTTTTGTACATAATGCATATATGTTATTCTCACAATTACATAACAGATTAAATCCAAATTCATTCTTTCAAATTCATCTTCCCAAACATAACATTTTTCAAGATCATTTCATAACTTGAGTTCCACTGTTGGTTTATATATTATTATTGTATATGGGCAAAACTTTTCTATAAATATAGAACATGGGCAAACTTTTCTACACATATAGAAGATGGGCAAACATATATCAAAATTGTGTCCACTACTTTAAAGTTTATATTCTCAAACTATATAACATGAACAAAGAAATGAATATCCCCAATATATATATATATACACACACACACACACACCAGCAAGCATGCATGGGGCAGGTAGCATGCATAGAAATAACCTTTGTTTACAAGGTGACCGACCAAAATGAATCCCAAAATCTCAGCTCCTTTTGAGAGTCTGGTCTCTCTCTATTCTCTACTAATCTCTTTCTTCTTTGGCAGTATGGGTGCAATTTTTCTTCTTCTTCTTTGTTTCTTAGAGCCTGGGGGGGGGTATGGTATGGGTAGGCCCTGCCTCAAGCACTCAAAATATGCAGAAAAGCTGCATGGGGATAAACAGCTTTGACTTTGTGTTTTTGTCCTCCACTCAAATTTATAATTCAAAAAACAGGACCATAACCGTGTTTATAGTATATATATAATTTCATTTTTAGTGATTTTTTTTATCAAAACTAATGGAAATAGAATATTATGTCACTATATTTAAAATCAGTTTTGAATAAAACATCTATACGATTGGATGGAGAATGAGGGTGTTCAAGTGGCACCATTCTCTTATTCCAAAGCTCTACTTTTTTTAATTTTTTGTTATTCTTAAAATTTTTATATTTTGTTGTTGTTTTTTTTTTTTTTTTTTTACTTTTTATTTAATTTTTTAAAATTTATGTTTTATTAAATAAATTTTATAAAAAAATTCAATAGAGATAAACGTGCACAACAAGGAAAATCATTTTTACTAGCACTTATATGATAAAGACTTAAAATTACCTTTAAAAGTCTTTATTTTTTTGAATAATTTCCATATTTCTAATCTTTAAACCTGATGAAATTAAAAAACAATTCATATTAATTAGTATGGAATGAAGGTCTGAAAAATGTAGCATTAGCTATGCATCAATCATATGTACAAACATAATGCATCAATATGTAAAAAGAATTAGATTCTAGCAACATAAAGAAAAACTAGTTACTGACACCCTTGCAAGTCCCAACTTTTACAATTTCTAGCAAAAGAACATTTTCAATTTACTTATTTCCCAAAATATGCATCCCTGATTACAAAACAATATTTAACTAGTATGTGCATCATACTTGAAGTCTACAATTACAAGGGCATCTAAAAACCTAACTCTTAACATGGTGGTCATGCTTTCACCTGAGTTTGTGAACCAAATGTATTATACAAGTTTTGTATACCAAATATTTAAATTAGATAGAAACCTTCCAAATTTCATATAAGGAACTTTGGATATGATTAATGTGCATAGTAATTATAATATTCAAGCATAGTTAAAATACATGAGCAAATAACAAAAGAAATGAGATTGTTAGGGTGACAACGACATATATTATCAAAATTTCAATAAAGTGACAATATCATGATTCATAAGTATTAAAATCAAGAAAATTTAGTAGTAGTGCCATTTGTCAATGTCCACAAGTTTTTAACATCAGATAACCATTAAAGGCAAATTGCAGCCTGATAACAATCCCATTACAAATACCAAAACTATCAAAACACCAAAAGTTGTCAAAATACCAATTATCAACAATAATGCAGTAGCATCATCCTCAAAAGATAAAAGTGTAATGTAATTAAAGGAAAATAGTAAATATCATTCTATAGATAACAGAACTGAGGACTATTATCCTCAAAGTTATCAAAATACCAATTATAAACTATAATGCAATAGCATCATCCTTAAAGCTTCCATTTTTCCTTAGTTATTTGTATGTAATGATCCCAATAAACTCAATGCATCTAAAACCTAAAATATAATACAATTTCTCGATTAGTTTAGTTATAAGGGCCACTTGATCTCTAGTTCTTATAGTAGGTAATGAATGTTGAGTTCTTAAATATGAAAACTAGCTTTTAGTTTCATAATTATATATTGAGGTTGATCATTCTATGGTTTTTAAATATCACAGATTTAATGATCAGGTCAACAGATGATGTTAAAGATTGCAACTATAGTTTCATTGCAACAAACTTGAAAAAAAAAAACAACATAGCAATTCATGCTAAAGTTTTGAGCTAATGTTTTACTAATTACAGCTCTAACATTGCAGTTAAGTGGAATAAGGGAACTAGACCCAGTCCAACTATTAGCCCATCTTTATATAGACCTTAAGGAGCAAGGCAGTTCATAATAGAATAGTTGGAACAAGCTACCAAGCAATTTGCTAACAATAATCTCATCGGATGTGGCAATTTTGATTTGGTATATAACTATTTTACTAAAAGTAAATAACTATTTATTTACTAATTAATAATACTATTTATTGTTGTTATTTATCTACTTCCTATTGGTATGAAAGCTAGGTTTAAGTCTATGTGAAAAGCTCTTTTGCATGGTAGTTGCAAATTTAACTAACTCAACATTCATTTTTTTAAGTGAAGTTATCGTGACCTCAAGTTTGCTCACTTTTGAAACTTTTTCTTCTAAATCTAAAAATTTAGCTATTTTTTCTTCTAAATTAGCAACCTTATCTATCATAGCTTTCAACTTCTCTTGTAGCCCAAATACCTTTCTATCTTTACTATTTTCAACCTCATTCAAGGTATGGAAGTGGCAAGAAGACAAACCCAAATCTCTATGGTGTGGGGCTAATCCCAAGCCTCATACAAAACCAAGATGTTCCTTTCTCATGACTTCAACAAAAAGCTCATCCACTAAAAAAATTGTTGCTTGTGATTACTTCAAGTTGGTATAACATTGAGATAACAACTCCTTTAACTTTTTTATAAAATATTCAACCAACAAGTAAAGGCAACAATGGATATTCCGATTTCATAACAATGAGATAGTAAATGCAATTTCATAATCAAGTAATAACTACAGCAGCTTATGTAGTATCAGCATCCATAAAGTTTTCATCTTTATGTTTATGAGTTATCACAAGCAGTTCTATTTTGTTTGGCTTTTCTCCATTACTTTGTTATTATTACCACAAAGATAAATATATCAATAAAGAAAAGACTTAGATTTAGAGACTTTTTATAATTTTAAGATGATTAGTGTCCCCAAATGACAAGTGATAAAGATTATTTATGTTTCATAGATAACTCATAAAGATTGAACAATTCAGCACTTTTTTCTTTTTTCAATCCATCTTTATTATTCCAAGAAAAATGAAAGAACTTTGGTTGTTAGGAGGACAATAACAAAAAAAGATAAAAAAAACTTTAATTATATACAGGAAAATATGCTAAACATAGCACATAATCAAATTACATAGCTTGTCAAATTTAAGTAAGACTAGTTTAGGAAATTTGAAATGATTTCAGAGAAAAATTTGAATATAAAATACCTTATCATCTGTAAGATTAAAAAAACTTTTTGAGCCTGTAGTGTGAAGAATAACTTGTTTGGCTTGTCAATTGCTATTTAATTCAATAAGAGTCTACAATTATGAAAAGACAAGAAATAATAAATAGTGAAATTCAAACACGATCGATCTCGATAATTTGTTATGTAAACCTTACCTTTCCTTCAGGTGAAAGCCAATATGCTACAAGAAATGCTTATTGATCTTTGTTATTAGAGTGGAAGTACTTGACTTTTAGCTTAGCTTTATAATCCTTCCATTTCCTTTCTGGTAACTTGAATAACCAATTAGTGTGACGTTTAAGAAACAAAAATTTTTCCTACAAACAAGCAAAAATACGAGTATAGAAAAACATCCAGTGCATTATGCTTATACATTATACATTATGTTTTTTGTACAAAGACTTAGTGCTCATTTACTTGCTCTATGTTAGTTTTTTAAGAAGTTAAAAGATAAAATGAATTCAAAAGAGGTAGAAAATGCAAATACGATCAAAGGTACATGTTAGACAAGCTTATTAGGATGTTTTTATATGGATTTAGGAGTTAGCACTAATTTAATTAATTAAACCCTTTAACTCCTGAGGCCAAGTTCCTAAATTGCATGTGTAAACTAATTCAAGAATCAATTTGAAAGAGTTGCCCAATTTGATCTAGAGCATTATGTTATACTATATGAATACTTTATCTTTATGGTTGTGAACAAGCACTTTATGAATACTTTGTGTGTGTTTATTTGCATATTATGTAATTGTACCTTTATATGGTCCAAAGTGTCCGCCTTGTACATTCGAGCCATCTTTCTCCAACTCTTATAGTTTAAAGGGAGCAAATAGTAATTTCTTGCTAAAATCCTAATACAAAATGAGAAGACATAGGCTTCACATCCAATGGGTTGACCTTTATTGTTAAATCATACTTTAATTCACTCTCGAAAGGAAGATTCCACACATCAACTGTCTTTTTATGGCCACAAGTGCCACACTTCCTAGTAAGATCTTTTCAATATTAGTTAAAAGGATAAAAGCCAGTAAGAAAATTAAACATAAAAATTTAATCAACTTGTAGAAAAACATAAGTTATGCATTACTTTGTTAAGAGAATCGAGACTATTAAATAACATCTTGTTGAG